ACACACACACACACACACACACACACACACACACACACACACACACACACAAACACACACACACACACACACTTTTGATCGTATTAGGAGGCGGGATGCTTCGACCCTGTCAGTTGGTCGGGGCTGACCTGGACTGATTGGGATACAAAATCCCAGCACACATGAAGTTACTCTATGAAATGACTTTTTGAATCGAACTCATGTCTTGTTCATGCAACAGCGAAGAGCCTAACCATTACACCACAGACGCCGTTTGTCTTCGTGTACCCATCCTATTAAAAATCGGAAACGGCATCATACAAAAGAGTGCGGTTCTGTCCCATTCGAAACGACATCGAGACGATAACAGCAGCCATTGTTGCCATTAATTAATGTCGTTTTGGAATAGTTTTGAGCGTCTGCATTCAAATATAAAGAATCCGATCCAGACACTGGGGATTGCCTTGTTAGTGAGACAAATTCCTGGGCCTTCGGCATATTGTGGTAGGGTGACTAGTTCCTTTCCTCGCCGCCTTTACTTCCCCAACTCGTAGTCAGGTACCCATGACTGTTGGTTGGGCAGGAGAGGGTGAAAAAAATCCATGTCCGAACCGAGGCTTGAACGCGGACTTTCCACTTGGGAGACGAGCGCACTAACCGCTCCACTATCTTAAACACTAATATAAAGTACCTATCCTAATAAAAATCGGAAAAGATATCATATAAAAGAGGGGGAAACCCTCATATATCAGGACGATACCGGGATGATACCAGTCAAGACATTGTCTCTTGTGGCTGATAGCGTCGTTTTGAAATCGTTTTGGGCGTCAGCATTCAAAATACAAATTGCCGCTTTGTTTCACTAAGATCGTGTGTCGAGTTCGATATCGCTGTACGAACAATGAATTTATTTGAACGTTCAATTCCTCGGTTTTCACTTTATTATGTCAGTAAAACTAGCTCACTTGGCCTGCGTGCGGACCCCCCCCCCCCAAAAAAAAAATGAAAAAGAAAAGAAAAGTATCTTTCCGAAGACACATTTTTGTGAAGGACTGGGCATTCGAACCCATAGCCTTTCGAGTTGTAAGCGTATAGTGGAGGCTTTATCACTCTTCCCGAAGAACAGATTCTACTGTTTGTTTTGGGGGAAGTGAGGGGGTGAAAAGGTGGAGATTTAATTTCTGTTCTCACTTTTTAAATAACAAAATGAATTATTTTATTTTGTTATATTATGCTTTTTTAATTATTGGAAAAG